TGTTTTCATATTTTGAGAAAAATGCTTGTTCATATTCTGTCAAGTTAGATTGGCACCAATCTCATGTCTGTGCATTAACAATAGGTTCAAGTTTATTAAATGAAACAAGATAATATGTTTGAATTAGTAGACATATTTATGAACTTCTGACACTCATTCACAAGACCAAATAATGCTTATGAGTTTACGCTTGCATCTAGTGACACTAATTTGATTGTGCGTATGTGTGCTGTGTCAGCACGAGAGAACGAGAGAGAGAGTGAGCGAATGGAGGAGGGACTGAATGAATGAATAGATATATATAATAAGGGCCACTTCCTCTGTTGATTATTTATAGAGTTGAATGAATTCTCGGGAGGCAGGCCATATTAGCAAAATAAAATTACAAATCTGCCAAATGATCCAGGACTTGCCCTTGTTGCTGAATAACATCACAGCAATTTCTATTTTTGCTTGAACTACTGTCACAGTGCGTTGACTTTAAACGTGGCATATTGTATCATGAATGAAGAGGAAAGAAAACACCAGGCTCTATATATGATGACGTTTAAAAAATGCAAAAGTGAGAAATGCTCCTGCATCTATAATGTTTGTGAGTTTGGAAAACACCTTGATTCCACTTTATAAATAGACCTCATTTGATTTAAAAAAAGAAATATATATAAAGAAATATGTCTCAGATCAACAGTTAACACAAAACTAAGCATGTTGTTGGTACAGTCTAGTGCAGCAGAAATTACCAAAGAGGTGCAATTCCCCAGACCTGGGTATCGACTGGGCCTTTCTGTGAGTCACTGACCAAATGCTGACTGGACTCAAGACATATCCTGCACATTGTTTCCTCATTGTGTGTGTGTGTGTTCTGGCCACCCATACGCTCTGTATTTTGCATTCAGGACTTTCCCTCATGCGCCAGAGTTGCACACGGCAGCAGTGACTGCAGCTGCCTGCAGGGACATTAGAAGACATGTCGCTCTTCCTGCCAGGCATCCACTGCTGACCGACTGACTGACTGACTGACTGCCTCTGTGATTGTCTGACTGACTGTGAGCTAAACGGAGGGTCACTGATATACCATGCATCTCCACAGGCTTTCCTGCCCTGTCAGCCTGAATTATTTACATGGCAGATTTTAGGAGATGTGAGGGAATGGCCATGTGAAATTACCTTGCATTGATTCTGTAAATTGAGAGAAGGAGAGGTGGTGGGGGTGAGGGGGTACAGCGCTGACAGATAAGAGAGGAACGAGAGATGAGCAGTCTGCTGGAGAGCAGCTTCATGTGTTTACTGTCTCCATTCACACATCAATAACAACTCAATTACTGGTTTTAACAAATTATGCAGCAGTCATTCCTAATTCTTTTCCAGAGCTGCTTTATTGTTATCGCTTGGATCGTCCTTGAATCATTTGGTACATGTTTCTCATTAGAAATGTGATTTTGGGCCTGTAAAAAAAAGGCCTTAATTCTCCACTATAATCTGTCCAATGAGGAGTTGTATAGGGTTAATATTCTGCTTTTGGCTGCAGATGGCAAAGGGTTATTTATTTGTAACAGTGATTTATTCAGTGTGGGAGAAGCTTCTCCCAAACCAATCTCACAGATCTCTTTGTAAGGAAGTTAGACCCTTTCACTCCAGCTCTGATGTACAGAGGTGAATTTTAAGGGAGCTTAGGCCCCGCATTGTATCAGAGTAATCACATTATCTAGATACTCCTTCTCTGACCCACAACCAAACCCCTTCGCTCTACACATCTCTCCCATCCGGTTAAATCCAATTTTGGTTTTAACACTCTGCCCGTAAGTGAATCAACAAATGCCATCCAAGTGAGCTGTGTGTGTTCTCACTTTATATCTGTCCTTGAGGAGGTCACAGAGAGAGGTTAGGATTCAGCAAGAGATTGATCAAGTTCACTTTAAAGGGATTCTCTGGATTTTGGCATATGGCTGGCGTCTGCGTTTACGGGATTGCTCCATCACGAGACAGCAGTTTGTAATCTTGTGACCTGTGAGTGTGTGACTGCTGACCCAGAGACTGCAAATCCATTTAAGCTTTTAACTGCTCTTGTGCTTGAGCGGTCAAGGTTTGAATCCTAATACTGAGAAGTGAGTTAACACGATACGCTGAACAAGAAACTGCATTGTTGCCAGCGGCTGTCATTTTTTTTGGCTCTATATTCTAACTGTCCTCATATTATACTTTCTGTACGCACAGAAATGTCAGAGTGCCCATAGTGTCAGACTGAAACAAATGAAGATGTAATGTGACAAAAATATCAACCGTTCTTGAAACTGAATGAACAGACGGACGCTAACCTTCATGCAGCAGGGTGACGACAAGGTCCTCCCAACATGTGTTTATTCTGGAAAATCATCTGGAGCACATCTGAAAATAATCTCATTGTGCAGAGGTCTAATATTCATTTACGTCTGGCGTCAATTCAAACCCACATTCGCCAACTGATGTCACTGTGTTTATCCATCAGAACACGGTACGACACAGTCCTGCTTTAAATGAACCATCTAAAAATCTAACAGCTACACTTCACAAGGCAAAGGGTCACATTACAGACAGCAGAAGGTGTCAGTGTGCTACTTTTAGGTTGCCTTGTTATATAAACATAGAGCTAAACACAGCAGTAAAGAAAGCTGTTTTCAGACATGAACTCTGGAAAATGTCTGGAAAATTGGATCTGGACATTTGTCTTTCACTTAGAGGAATGCAGCAGGAGATTGCCGGAGACATGTTCACAACAACAGGGAAATGTCTGGAACATTCAGGGGATGGGTGTCACCTGCAAAAGCATGTAAGACGTGTTTTTGTTTACATCCAGTCTTCTATTCCTTTCAATTTTTTTTCAGTTTTGCATTCATTGCATGTCAGGAACGTTGTTTTCACAGAACTAGAAATCACCATTTCCCTGCTGTATCTCACTCACATGGGCTCATTTAGACATTTTACAGACATTTTAGAAGGGAGACATTCGTGTTCTCTCTGGCCAATGATCAGACAATGGAGAGCTTCAGAGAAAACCCAACTTGTAGGTTATTTTCCAGGAAAAAATATTAACCAATGCACACTAGTTGCTAGCTAGGTTACCCTCCTCTGTCTCATGACCCTGGCCTTGCACGTTGTGGCTGTTGAACTGTCTGCCATTGGTGTGTTTAGCTAGATTTATAGGTGCGTGTTAGCTATGGAGGCTATACACACAAACCTCCTGTAGCTCTGCTGGTATATGCACCTCATCAGAAATATCCTACTACGATGGTTCCACGTGGAGAGCATAAGAAGTGTCTGGTCAGCTCGTGCTACTTGTGTTTTTCCTATAAATAATTAGTTGTGTTCTCGTTTGCAGTAACACACGTCTCGCATCAAAGCCATTTCCTCTAAAAACCTTGTGTTCGCCACAAATGTCGCTCTCTATTATTGTAGATGAAAGTATCATGCATGGTTGCAAATTCATGTGGACATTCCAGACAAGTCTTTGTGCTGAGAAACAAACGGGCAAGAAACATTTGTGTCTAATAAAAATTCACCTGCTACACATCTGGAACTGATCACATTGTCTCATGGCTACTTGGGCTACCTTAGATTTTGTATTATCAACATAAATTCAGAGCAGACTTATGGTATCATTAGATTTTTCTAGCTTCAATCCAAAACCACTTTCATAAATGTCTGGGCTGCTTTTTGCGAGACCACTCTATGTTTGCATCGATCCATCAGATGCATGTTCAGACAAAGTCCTGCCTCCAAATGTATCAGCTAAATAGCTATCAGCTACACATCCTGTCGACTTTTAGTGGGTTTGTGTTTGTGTGTTTCCGAGGAAGCCAGACGCACGTGATCCTGTATTTACTGCTCTCTAACAGGTCCATGAGCTCTGCTTTAACCGTGAAATCAATCCCATTCCGCACGCCCCGACCTCCAAATGAAAATACCCTCCAGCAGCCCACCACCGCACCACCCACCCTCGACTTTTTAAAGGAGTTTTCATGTCTCTCACTGCCATTTTTGCCTCTTCCCCCCTCCCCCCTACAAAGATAAACAGAGCGAGGGAAGGGGCAGGTGGAGGTGAAGGTGGCCTCTGGAATCTCCCGCAGAACTCGGCGATCAGAAGAGCGCCATGAATCTTTAATGTGAGATGTTGGTGCGCCAAGGAGAGGAAATGTGCTGAAAACATGATTATGGACTCTTGGGAAGGAAACGGTCGGTGGAGAGAGAAAGGGAGACAGAGAGCTATATCAAGCAGGGCTGCAAGAATACAATAATTGTTTTGAAGGGCAAAGGAGGTAAAGAGGGATACATTTTTTGAATGGACTGCTTAAGGCAAGGTTATTTATACTTCTTCAAAGATATTATATGTAATTCTTCAGTAAAATCTCGAAAAATGAATCGATTGATGTTATATATTTTATTGACTTGTGTATTTAAATTAACCATAATGTTTCAAACTATGTTCAATCCCAGAGAAATCCCCAGTTTTATTCAAGGTGATTGCAGAGGCCGTCGGCTATTTTTGAACGGGTTGCACATTTCTCCACACAAAACACAAACACCCATACTTTTGTGACTGCCTTAGGTCAAGATGACATTTTGGCTCATCTCTATGAACAGCTATCTGCACATGAACACAGGTAAATTAAAAGCCAACAGCTGATCCATCTCTTCTGCTCTCCACAGGACTATTTACCTGTGGGCCAGAGAGCCTGCTCAAACGTCATTTCAAACTAAACCAAAGGGCTTCTGGCCCCAAAATCTTGGCCCTTACATAAAGATTCTGCATTTTCACATGCAGAATCTGTTTAGGTACCTGTTTCAAGGTAATGGCACATTAAATTTTGGTCACCTTGTAATTGTGTTGTATCCACCACACCCATAGCTTTGCCTGTATAACTTCCGGGGCAAACAACATATGCATATTTTTCCTTCCACTGTTTGTATTGGTCCTTCATAATAGTCATGATTATTCATTGTCTTTTGTTTTTGCAAACGCACAGGGGAACCAAGCAACCCAAGAGGATTATGTAACAGGAAATGGTGGTGAAGACAGCAACTCCCATGATCCAGCGCTGCTTCACAACATCATCAAACTAAGTTTTTTGTTATTGTTTTGACTCAAAGACCCCATGCGGTTGAAGTAACATATTGTGCATTAAGGTCCTGACCAGTACTGCTCACAAAGTACTTAAAAAAGATTTTTTTTGGACAGCAACTTTTTCTTTTCCTGGGACACAAGAACTGAAGGAGCAAAGGAATCTGTGGTCAGAGGTGTCAAGATAGAGTCAAGAGGCTGTCTTGTGTGTAAGGGCAGTAAAGCTGAGTGTGATAGTGTGATGTCTTACACTTGAAACAGCTCGAGAGAGCATTACCAGTGGACCAAGCTGTTCAGTCTGTCACTCATCAACCCAAATGAATCCTTGTTTTCTTGCCTCACTGTCTGCCTCCTCCTCTTTGTCTGTTTCACTATATCTCTTTGACACACTTGATGATTAAAGTAGAGATAAATCTGTCTGGCTGTGGGTGTGCATGTTTGTGTGTGGTTCTCATTTAGCCACCCTGTGAAGGCTGTTGCCGTTCCGTTCGCTGTCACTTGCACCATTGCAGCACAGATTGAAACAGACGATGGGGAAATGTGGAAAAAGTTGTAAATGCGGCTTAAGGCAACACAACACAAAGTGGAGGCCATCTGAATCTCCTTTTAGTTTTACTTTACTTTCATCATGTAATGCTTTGCGTTTGAAGTTTGACCAGAGAGATTAAACATAGGCCCTGTTCAGACCTGGTATTAACATGCATCCTTAGAGATCCAATCACAAGTGGACAGCTCTCTGTCTGTTCCCACTTTTTATTAAATGCACCTGAATGTGTCTCCTGTGACCACTTGTGATCGGCTCTTCCTCTCTCTATGTTTAAGGGACAGAAAGAATAATAGTGCAATTTTATCAAGTTAAGAAAAGTATCAATCATTACATGGTGAACAGTGTTGCTATTGTGGCATTGACTAACAAATAAATGTATGGACACTGAGAGGCATAGACATTCATTTAAACTGTAGCCGCTCTGAGACGTCAGTGTAGGCGGTCCTTCATATGTGACCCAGGATGCATTGGCTTTCACACGGTGGAAAGAATGTGGCCACATGTGTGAGTGATCGGATCTCAGTGCGTTTAGACCTGAACTTAGTGCTGACCACTTGTGATGGGATTGTTTAGGATAGATGTTATTACCAGGTCTGATATGGGTCATAGAAATATGAAGAAATACATGTATTTGTGCCAAGTAGACAGATCAGATGCTGCACTTAAGTCATTGACGGGTGAATAAACTATTAGTTACACCACTTGACTGAATTTTGGACAGAGCCAGTCCTTTTGCACAGCTAAGCTACTCACCTCTGCTTTGTCTACATACTTATACAGAAAGGAGAGTGGTATCAATGTTCTCATCTAACTCTCTGCAATAAAAGCTATTTTCTAAAATGCCGTTCTTTTTCTGCATTTATTTTGGGAGTTTTTGTGTTGTGCATTCATTTTTCTAAACCGAACATATTCCCAGTTCCCCCTACTATTTCCGCTCCTGCAAAAACTGCTAGCACTCCATCAGCATGTTTTATGTATGATTAATTTCCCCCTTGTTCTGGCAGTGTGTAAACAGACAGATATCATTATAGATTAATGAGAAGACCTTCTTTTGTCAAAACAACACATTTGAAAGTCGTCTAATCCTCTGTCTCTGTCCTCTTCTTTCTCCGTCACAGCTTTGATATCAGCGGGCTGCTGCACTAACAACTGTAGAAATGTCAAGTTATGGGACAGGTAAGAACCCACTACCACATTGATTCTTTTTTACAAACCCCATAAGTGTTAATTAGAGTCTTTGAAAGAAGAAAAAAATGCCTGTGGAGGTCGTTCTGTGCTCTTTTCACAAGGGTCCATAATCCTGTAATTATAGCTCCCATTATTCTATTTTACCATAATGTGCTTCCTGCAGCTGGAGTCTTGAAACTTATTTACATTTTATTGTTGGGCTGGGGGGTACATGTGATTTATATCGAATAATTACAGTATCTGAGGGGTTTCACTCTTTTCTGATCAGTGAGTGATCAACAAAATATATTCTGTTGTGATACCGTGTCATTGCAGGGTCGTTCTATGACTTAGTCCGATGTAGCGGCCCCAGATGAGTAATGTGTTTGCATGCTTACTCTGGCCAAGGTGTAATCACAGTGGGTTTACATTGGGACTACAGAGTTAGAGGTGACCCTATCCTGTCCCTGTGTGCCATCTTACATCTTCAATCAGGCCCCAGCGGGAGGGCGAGATGGCTGTGTTAATATTTAATGACTGCAAGACAAGATGTACCTCCCCCCTCAAGGATAGCCATGCCCCACCGACCACCCCTGTCGCAGAACACAAGCACTACCGTGTCGGTTGTAACGGCACGCACATTGTCACTATTGCTCTTGCAAGTATGGTGACTTTTCCTCGCTGTGGATGAAAGTGTCTTCCTCCTTTTCCTTCACATTAGTATTTTCACCCCGTCACTCCTGTGCCTGCAGTTTTTTTCAGCCCACTTCCAAATACCTCGAACAAAAATACCAATGACTCAGGTGAGGAAGAGAGGAGGTGTACTTTATGTCAGTGGATGATTTGTGAGCTTAAGGATGTGCTAACAGTGCAGACTGAAGTTGGGTCCCATGGCTTTCCCTCAGCTCCCTGCTGTGCTGCAGACAGACACAGGCAGGAACAAAAGGATCCGTCATCCATCCGCAACACAAAAAGTCTGGACATCTCTTTCATTCAAACTTTCTGCCTCTTCTAGCTGCAGCTAATGTCGTAACTAATGGCTTTATTTGCCCTTAATAAATCATTTGCTAATACTTAATGGGCCGTGAACATCTTTTGGGGTGACAGATTGTGAAAAATCCCTGTGCCCCAGTGGTGTAGAGCGTCTGGATCCATTTATGAAAAACGTATTAAGATTTACATCTGCAGTCTTAATGGATTATTGTAAGAACACTCAAAGGTGACCTTCAAGATTAGAGTCAGTGTTTGTGTTGGTTTGAAAGGCAACGTGAATAAGCATTTTCCACAGATGACATGTTTACAGGTCACAGTAAGAAATGTAGGCGGAAATAATGAATTTATAATGGTTGAATTCCATTTAACTGCTTCAGGTTCAGGGTACCGGCAGGTTCACACAGACTTAATGGGACACTTGAATGGAACAGGCCCGTCATCTGGAACACATTACTGATGCTAATTCAAACATCTGCTGTAAAAAAAGAGAATTAGGGTGGAATCTTTCTGTCTGTGCAGGTAACGCTTGATTATTAATCAGCATGAAGTAGAGTAATCCATTGCCACGCAGAATATCAGTGGCATCTTGTTACTTTGCAGGGAATTATCCAGAAAAAGTGCATTGAAAAAGGAATTGAAGCCTGAGTTCCTATTAAATCAAGAGGTGTAATCCATCTTTATTCCTCTGAACGAAATATCCTCAGGCTGGGTTTATACCAATCAGTTCATGACAGAAAATTGGTTATTTTAATGTTGCTATTACATTTCAAACTCCTCAGGAAATACCTGTGTTAATCTGCAAAAACAAACACAATCCCCCCAAATCTCTTATGTTTCCTTCTCAGACGCTTTTGTCAGTTCAACATTAACACTGTACTATAGTGCATCTGTTTAGAATCAATATGCAGTATATAATCATTCAATAAATATTGTATGATCCACTAAAATATAGTTCTAAAGAGACTAAAGGTTTAAGTAAAGAATATTTATTTTATATATTGTATATAACAGTGACAGAATTTGGACATACTTCTAAAAAGGTCGTTGGAAAATGTAGTTTGTGACTGAATTGATGAACCATTTAGACCCAATCTTGGTTAATGACATGCATTTTATTAGTGTCTATGAATCATTACAAATGACTTTATTGATGAATACTTATCATTAGCAAGAATCTGTAAACCTTTACAAAGTGTGACCTATTAGTAAATTGTGCCACATCTTGATAGTGATCTATATGTTCATTTTTTATCAGTACGTTTGTAGAAATATGCTTCTTCTCTCTATAACATGTATAGAACATCCTTATACTCACCTAAAGTTTAAACCCAGTTATTCTGTAGCTCAGTTGTATTTGTACCCATTAATTCCTGCACTCCCAGTCTTTCCTTTAACAAATCAATCAAGGATCAATAATGCATCACATAATTCACACTGTTCTAATGACTTCTCCTCTTGTTCTCCTTGTTTCCCTGTACAGCTTCGATGCCTCCTCTTGACCCCAAGTTGGACGGTTATGCTCCTCAATCAGAGGAGGGGTCGCAGCAGTACAGCCTTCCTGCGTCTCCAGCCTTGATAGACACAGGGGCCCCTGGGTGCCGCTGTCCACAGCCCCACACGGTCTGTCACCCATGGCCTCATCCATGTTGGCAGCCCTGACACGGCCTGCCTCCATTTTTGTTTTTGTTTCTACATATCAACGTTTAAGCGGAGGGGAGTTTCCTGAGAGAACGCTGTTAGCTCGGTTGGTACAACTCGTGAAGACTGCCACACCTAAATGGATCAGAGTGGATGTCTCTCCCTGCCAACTGTGACACAGCTACCTCCCAGAGAGCACCCATAGAGATGGAGGGTGGGCGGTCGCGCTGGGGATTGGAGAGAGGAGATGGAAAAGTGCTGCTGTCCCCTGTTTACAAATGTAGATCATTGGTGGAGAAGCACACAAATGAAACTTTTTACACCCTGCTGTTCTCAACTTTAACTATTTTGCTACACCCATCTCTCTCTCTCTCTTCTATTTAGTCTCACTCTCTCCCTCCTCTCTTTCTTCCTCAGACATTCATCATCCAAAATGTATAATGAGACTGGTGTAATCTAATGGTCTATCACCCGGTCTCCAAATTAAGCCCGATCACATGATTGCCATCGTATCCTCCTCCTGCCTCGTAAATTTTTTCAGCCATTTCAACTGAACTTAAAAAAAAAATCACAAAACAAAAACACAGACATCAAAGATGATCCAGTGAAGAAAAAGAACCTTTTCCTGTCTTAAACCAACATGGTCAACATTACTAGCTGCTGACAGATGTTCTAGTTCTATAAGATGCAATGTTCAGGTGTAATTCTTCTTCTTTTTTGTATTTTCTTCTTTGCTCCCTTCAAGCGCCTATATTATAGCTGGGGAGAAAATTATACATTTCTCCATGTTGTTTTTTTACAAGGAAGTAAAGTCCAAGTAAAAAGTAGATTATTGGATTAGTTTTCTATATATCTATATATATATATATATATATACAATATGATTATTATTTTTGACTTACTGGTATTAGAAGTATTATATTAAGATGCATATGATAAATATATCAAATAATAAACAGAATTCTTTATGTAAAAGTGCATCACATGTTCAGGTTTTATTTCAGTGTGCTGAAATGAGATGGTGGTGAGTGTGTGCTGACCTTTCACCTGCAGGGTCAAAGGTCAAATTGGAGTCGTAAAGCAAACTTTAGGGTCAGAGAAAAAATCCATATGCCATGCAGAGCAGCAGTGTTCCTGCCAATCAGCAACAGGGGTTAAAAAGGCCTCAGATATCGTCCACCGCCACGACTGTCTCTGAATATAACAACTACTAGAAATGCTATTTTCACAGTAGCGCTTCAAGCACCAGAGAGTCCAACATTCAAGATGCAAGACTATATTTATAATGTGCACAACAATTACATACAGCGGTCACTGGCAATGACATTTTGGTGTCACAGGCTCCCTTCTAGCCATGCTCAAAAATATGTCAAACTAAAGTATATATATAATATAATAAAATATAGTAAAGTATAAATATTTAATACTAAAATAAAGTATATAGTGAAATGGCAAAGACCTGCATGAAAATTGGTGAGCTGTCTCTAGATGAGCTGCGGGCTGCAGTGACCACACACTGATCCTTCATCCTCCAAGTGGGCAGCTGCCAGTCACTACCACTGGTGGAACAGAGGTCATCAGTGTCTGACTGAGTAGTTTGTGTAAATAAAAATAATAATAATGAACTATGGCAGCTCAAAGACAATATAGATGGAAATAAAAACATGTTAAAATGTAACATGTTACAATACAGAGGGTTGATTGTGTTTATAGTTAATGTGAATGAATGTGGTGGCTTATTCCAACTTGTTGAGGTCAGTGGTTGGTAAGGAATGAATGTGGAGGGTGGACCTTCTGATGGAGCAGTGAAGGGAGGCGTGTTTTTGATTTCAAAACCTCAACAATCAATCCCCAGAATCAATAACTCCACCTCTCCCTTGGCCCTACCCCTAGATATAAAGTGCCCTTCACTGTCCCCCTCCAAACGTTGCAGCCACGTGCAACA